TTGATTTTTTTTGTTATTTCTTATATGAAACTTATATCTTATATGTTTTTTCTTTTCTTTACAGTTTCCATTAACTATAAGTCCTTAAAGTATAAGCACAGATTTTTCCCAAGACGGGTCAGTATATACATATACATTCTACAAAATGTCAAGACCTAGAAACGAATCCAAGTTTCGCTTGTTCATGCAAGAGAACTCGCTTACATTGTTCACAGTCACCGGTGTGTTCATTGGAGGTTTAATTGGCTTTATCATTAAAAATAGCACAGGACCCTGGACAAAACGAGAAATTATGTATATATCGTTTCCAGGAGAACTTTTCTTGCGGTGAGTATATTTTTAAAAACTTATTAAATACAGATTTTTTTCTGTATTCTACATTTGTTTTGTTACTTCATATTTAATGAATAAAATGTAATATAAGATATATAATGAATATACATGTTTAATCATAATTAGTTATATGGTATAACTTATATGATAGTAATACATTTATCAATATCTCATATTTCTAAAGAAACCATGTACGTGATTAATTATATATTTTCTCTTTTGCAGTATGCTAAAATGTTTAATTGTACCTTTATTGGTTTCGTCCATCACAAGTGCGATAGGTGGTCTTGATCTGAGCATGTCAAGTAAAATTGCTTCGAGGTAAGTAGTTTATATTATAAGAAACACTATTCTTTTGGAATTGTGAATTAAAATTCGAAAGAACTAATATTAACAAAACAAGATATTAACAAGACACTAACAATAAAAACAACCACGTTGATACTACTGTATTATAGGGCGGGATCATTGTTTGTAGGACCGGGTTTAAGTTCATCACACGAATAAATCGTGATATATTTTTCAAAAATAAAGTCATTGTGCAATTTTTTCTTACACAAGCAATATTTTTATTTAAAACAGGCACTGCAGAATAAAAGAATAAAACTCTTTTTAATTATTGCTTTAAAATTTTCTAAAGTTCTTTCCCTAAAACTATTGGTTGTCAAATTTTTTTGAACAACCACCAGTTTTATGTCAAACTAAACAATATTTTATTTATTGGTATGCATGCTAGGTGAATTGATAAATACCCGGCTTAAGCAATAAAAATGTATTTTTTTGGAAAATTATGTTTTATGCTTCTATATAGTTCTCCTTTATGTCGATAGACTGAGTTCAGTAATCTTCCAACATTTAGATACGTTTTAAATAATATGAATTGTGAAGTCCTCCAAAATATATCTCTCAGTTTCCCATTCCACGTCATTATTTGATACAAATCCCTTTCCCCTGCGGGCCGAATCTGTAAAATACGGTGGGTGAGAAAGCAATTCGTGCGGTAATTTATTTAATTTTGCCATGATTTTCATTAAGGTGTGAGAGAGCACATTGTCCTGTAAAAACAAATTTTTTTTCTTCGACAAATGTGGTCGTTTTTTCTTTATTTCCTCATACAATCGATCCAATAATATGTAATAATAGTATTCACTTGAATCTCAAAATACGGAAGCCAAAACTTTTTCAGCGGATTGTTGTGTTTGTGGTCGTTTGAGAACACTATCCGCAGTCTCTAAGCATTCTCTCGAATTGTATTTTTCTTCAAGTGTGAACTAATGGATCCATGTTTTATTAATTCTCATGTTCGCAGTCAGCTAAATTGTGCATAAACATTTCCAAACAATGTTTTGAATGACGAAGTCGTTGTCATTTTTGGTCAATTTTTCATACCCAAATATTGTCATCTGTGCTATCTCATACAATTTAATTTTTGGATCAACCAACACAATATCGTGGACTTTTTCAATGTTATTTCAGTTGCTACCCCTTTTGGACGACCCGGACGCTCTTCATAAAAAACACACGTACGACCACGTTCACATTGAACTGATGGTATTCATATTATGAGGATTTACTACAAGAATAGTAACGATTATTTAAATGAAATATTTAGTAAAGAGATTCGTTTTTAGTTTGATGAATAATTAAACTAACAAAAATGTTGCATTTAGAGCAATGAAAATTCACAAGTAGCATCCTGTGAAAAACCAGTGCATCCGCAGAAAATCACCGTATATGTGTTATTTGGTCTGAGGTGAAATTGGTCGGCAGTTATTTAATAATAACGAAGGTCTGACATAAAAAATATATTTTTATTGTTATTATTTAACCATTTTTTCAAAGTATATATAATTTCAAGAAGAAGGCGCTATAACTACAAAACACACAACGCATTCTGTGTTCTCACATTTTAATCATATAAAGTGAACACCAAGCTAAGGGGCCATTTCTTTTACTGGGCTCTTGTTTGTGGAACTTATTAAATAATTGTATATGTGCGAAGAATCTTCAAGCTCTCTCTATGTTTTTAAAAGTAACACCCTTTAAATTAGAGCTATTCTATTACCGGCTATATGCAAGCAAGTTATCGAAAATTACGTTAGATGCGTGTATCACGAAGAGAATTTGAGTTATATTCTAATTATTCCATACCTAATCCAAATTCCAAGTAGTAAAAATTAAATAGCGTTGTAAATTGCAAAAATGTCTCATTTATAACTAATGTGTCGAAACCATAATATGAATAACCTCGTAGAACTCAAACACAATGTTTTGCGTACATCATATAACCTTCCGGATCGAACTCGCTATTAATAATTACCTTTGCATCAATTCAAAACTGTCAAAACTTTGATGTTTTATGACATTGTCGTACATTTTCTTTTTGTTTCATACTAAAAAAAACGTACCTGTCTTTACAGGGCACTGGACCATAGCACGGCATGAAGCTAGACTTGGTGTGCACTGTGGTATCTCCTATAACGCGTGTCTATCAGCTCTTGAAGAAAGGGCACCAGAACACCTACTGTGTCTATGTCTGGAACCAGGTTTTTCTAGGTTACTGCGGGCCCCGTTCTTCAACACATTTAGCTATATCTAGCATAGGCTAGAGTTTTGTCCTTATAAATGCATCTAGCTGTTTCTAGTTTGACCTTCTTTCTACCCATTATTAGGAGGATTTGTGGATTTAAAATGGCTTTCTTAGCCAATTGAGAGGGATTTGTTTCTCCTTCCGCCTCAACTAACTAAGTAACTAAAAAAATACTTTTTATCGTTTGTTACAATAGCTGATAAGCTTGATTCGATGTCATCACATCTTTATTCAAAATTCAATAGACGGTACTGTCTGTCTTGCAGTTTTCTTTTCGATGAGTCTCGTCGACAGCTAATAGCTGATTCAATGAATTATTTCAGTTTTCTCTATGTTTGGTTCGTTGCTAATGGTGTTTTGTGACGATACTCCTTCATCGTCTTAAAGGTCTTCTCGGGATAGGTCAAACCAACGTAAAACCTTTTTGTTTCCGTACACTTTTATTTAGTGTTCCGTGCATTTTACTGCCATTTTTACTCAATTTTAAGCATAATTTAGTAATTTTTTTTTTTAACCTTGTTATTTCAATCAACCGACACAAAGGGAATTATTTAAAATTTGAACAATATGTAGATAAAATATACATCATTTTGCTACCATCATCAACACAGAGATATCATATCACTAGGAAATTTTATGCGTATTTCTGTTTTATATATTTTGCAGTTATATTACACTTTTAAGGTGTATGTCACTTTTTTACATAAATATGCATTAAGATACATATTGAAACACACATTAATAGTTATTTTCACAAAATCCATTTCTTATCTTTATTTTAGATCAATTATTTATTATCTACTCACAACAATATCAGCTGTGATTTTGGGTATTTGCTTGGTCACCACAATTAAGCCTGGCCAAGGCGCCAAAATTGAGGCGACACACATTGAGTCTGTAGATAAAGCCTCCAAAGTATTAACTCCAGACACGCTAATGGATTTAGTGAGGTATGCAGTGTACACAACAGAATTAAGTTGAATTTTTAATTCACTATTTATTTTTCTTGCAGAAACATGTTCACAGACAATATTATACAGTCGACAATGTTTCAGGTACGTATGACCTATAAGCGATCCCAATTTGCACATATGGATTGAAAGCGATATTTGTGCTAATTTATAATTATCTAGATTGCATCTCATAATATTAATTTTCATTTTTGTTTTCACTTCAATCAACCAAAGTGCAACGAGCAAAATGCCGAGCAAGTCTGCCGGGACTTTGAACATGCAAATTTAATGACAATTTGATAAGTGCATCCGTTGAATCATCTTCCATGCCATAAACCCAACAATCCGCAAATATACATATGTGTGTACGAGTACCTTTAGCAGTTTAGTATGTTTGTAGCAGCTCGACATGAATTTGGGTAAATTATTCAATTTACTCTCGTAAATCCTGTATAATTTCAATATTTCATTATATTTCTGTTCTTTTTTTTTT